AGCTGCCACCACAGAACAGACACCGCAAACTGGTGGTGCCGCATTGCTTACACCCCATCGCGTGCTCGACGTAGCTCGCACAGCATCGCCTACACTCCATCGCGCTCGCCTCCAGCTCACTCCGCGTTGCTGAAACAGCATAGCTCACGCAAGACAGCGCACACCGCACAGAGTTCACCTCCATGCGTAGCTCACACCGCCCAGCTTGCACTGCGGATTGCTCACCGCATAGATTGCGCCCCGCAGCTTCCACCTCAACAGCTCACACCATATACTCCAGATTTCGTAATAAAAGGGAGGGGGTCTGGACCCTCCAAGACAAGCCATTTCAGACCTCCCCCGTGGGAGAACCCTCCAAACATCGTCCCCAGACCCCCCAGGCCATCCAAGATAGCCTGGAAGAGACCCCCCCCCGAAATGAGACCCCCCTCCCTTTATTACGAAATCTGGAGTGACTGTTACGGCAGAGCTTGCACCAGACAGCTCAAACCCATTAGCTTCCACGTCCAACGTGCGTTCGGACACCAGGTCTGACACCTGTGGGAAAAAAGCCAGGAGGCCATCCGCCCGACCGCGGCGGGCTCCGAAGATGGGAAACTGCGCGTCTGAAACGCCGAGCACCAACAGCTTTTGCAGCGCCTTCGTTCCCTCTTGTGAAACAAGACACTCGCCGAACTGAACACTGTTGAACAACGCTCGTGGCATATTCAGCACGAGCCAATACAGCCGCCTGAAGATTCCAAGACGTGGCCGCACGGCCTGCACACGGCACGCTCTTTGCACACCTCCCCCACATCCTTCACACCTTCCAGGCTTTCTGCACTCGCAACAGTGTCATCTCATGTTCGAGGACGGTCGCACTCGCTGATTTTTGTTTGGTGCCAAGACAGAACACCTGGGCGACACAACCCGAAGGGAGGTGCCCAAAGCGCCTGCATGAATTCACATGCAGTCGGACCTCGCAACATGCACGTCGGTACAGACCCGCCCCAGGCGTTACATCTGCGCCGCCGTTGCGAGGTGCGGGAACGCATAGAACACTGCAACGCGAACAAAATGAACCCAGCTGGGCGCGCACGTGCCCAGACCCTCTGAAAGCTGCTCCGCTGTGCAGGAGTTGAACTGCACGGGTGACCTACACCTCAGAGCCAGAAGAGTGACCAGAGAGGAAAAGTCGGCCCGAAGATGGTCCATGAAGCCGCCGAACACATCCAGAGATGACCCGACAGCGGAAGAACGGGAGGAGCAGGATGCGAGGAGGGGAGAAGGCGGAGGGAGGAGGAGGAGGAGGAGGAACAGGAGGGAGGAGGAGGAGGAGGAGCAGGATGCGAGGAGAACGGGAGGAGGCAGAGGGAGGGGGAGGAGGAGGAACAGGAGGGAGGAGGATCTTGACCTTCCGAGGTCGCCAATGAAGGCCCCCAGAAGGGCCCTCGGAGAGTCCCAGAGCGGCCCCAAAATATGGACGCCCAGACGGTCCGGGCCGGTCCCTCAGAGGGCACCACGTCGGCCCAGGAAGGCAGGAAGGACGAACGAGAGAGCAGGGAGGGAGAAGGGCGCGAACAAGCGAGAGGGGGGGAGCCCTGCAAGGAGGGGCGGTAAAGCATAAGCGCTAGCTGGAGCGTTGGAGCGTTCAGGAGGGCGAGGGGGGATCTGAGCAGGGAATTACGGAGTTACGGATATTGCGACCACGTCGGTTACTTAACAGAGACCCAAACAGCAAACTTACACGGGCTTGCCCGCAGCAGCACGCTTGGCTCGCTCAGCTTTGTTATATTGCTTGGGCCATAAACCCTGTTGAATTCGATTAAGGTAGTCTTGACGACTACGCTTAGGTTCACACTCCTTGGATAACTTAGCCAGCTGTTCAGCTGCAGAGCTTCCACAGGTAGTACAAAACCAAACCCCCAGTCCAACATGATATTAAGACAGTGAGACGGCTGGGCATATCCCCCCCCCCCCGACGTGCATATCCCCCCCCGACGTGCACCCGTGCACCCGCTTAGGTTTACACTCCTTGGATAACTTAGCCAGGAGGGGGGAGCGACAGAGGGCGAGGCAAGGGAGCCGCAGGCCCCCAAGGCGGGAGGGAGGAGAAGGAGCCGAGCGCGAGGGCGGGGGCCGCCGAACGTGCCCCTGGCCCAGGGTGCCCCGGCTGTCCGCTCCATGTGGAAGCCCCTGGGAACCTCTGGTGCTCGTGAGGGGGCTCTCTGGAGGCCGTGGGGGGCCCTCCTCCTTCTCCTCCTCCTCCTCCGCCTCCTCCTCCTCCTCATCCTCCTCCTCCTCATCCTCCTCCTCCTCCTCCTCCTCCTCCCCCGCCCTCCTCCTCCTCCCCCGCCCTCCTCCTGCTCCTCCTCCTCCTCCTCCTCCTCCTCCTCCCCACCTCCTCCTGCTCCTGCTCCTGCTCTTCTCTCTCCCCCTCCCCCTCCCCCTCCCCTCCTCCTCCTCCTCCTCCTCCTCCTCCTCCTCCGCCTCCTCCTCCTCCTCCTCCTCCTCCTCCTCCCCCATTCCTTCTCCTTAGATCACTTCTCCCTGTCGCACCCCGAGGTCAGTTTGTTTAGGCTGGCCAAGCGTTTCGCCTGAGACTTCCTCACCATTTACGACTCTAAAACTGCAAAATTAGCAACAGTTTTCACTGATGGAGGGCGGGTGGTTTTCAAAATGTAGCTCTCGCCTTAGCGCCGCGCACATTCGTTGCACCAATTTGCAAGAGTTTCACGGATTGAGGGCGGGTCGTTTTCAAACTGTGGATCTCGCCTTAGCGCCGCGTGCATTCGTTTCAAAAATATAAGAACTTCACACACGGAGGACGGGTGGCTTTCAAAATGCGGCTCTCGCCATAGCGCCGCGCACATCCATTTTCAACATTTGCAAGAAAGAAAATTCGCGGGTTCCCGAGATCAACGTACTAGAAAGTGCTGTGGTAGGATTCATGATTACGCGGGTCAACAGTTACGTTGATCCGCAGGTCTTGAAGTCCCAAATATGGCGTGCTAGCATTCCAAATCGTCCAAAATCAACAGCCAGGCTAATCCGTGAAGTAAAATCCCGAGAACGACGTTTTGGCGTGCTTCAAGGTCTTCAAACGGTTGTCTCCAAAATGATACAGTTCCCTCAGTGGAAATCAACCGTTGTAGGGGCCTATGAAGAGGGCTCTTGGAGGGAGGTTGACTTCCAACATCGTTGATGACTCTAGGGCTTACACTCGTCCTCCTCCTCCTCCTCGTCCTCCTCCTCCTCTCCTCCTCCTCCTCCCTCCTCCCTCCTCCCTCCTCCCTCCTCCCTCCTCCCTCCTCCCTCTTCCCTCCTTCCTCCTCCCTCCTCCCTCCTCCCTCCACCCTCCTCCCCCTCCCTCCTCCCTCCTCCCTCCTCCCTCCTCCCTCCTCCCCCCTCCCTCCTCCCTCCTCCCTCCCTCCTCCTCCCTCCTCCTCCGCCTCCTCCTTGGAAATCGTGAAGGCACCTTGGGCCAGTGACACTTCTAGCAATACCCGAAGCGTATTGGAGCGCTCGAGAGGGCGAGGAGGGATCCGAGGAGGTCAGGGGCACGAGAGCAGCCTCCCCCCGTCCTCGATGTCTTCCCGAGGCGGCACCATGGACAGCGACAGCTTGCCGGCGTCCTCCCGGCCAGGCCGCCATCTGCAGTCACACGCCCCCCTGCCATCCGACTCGGCAGCAGCGATCCTGGCCAGGCCCACTCTGGGCCTCGGACTTGCCTCGCCGGGATCGGCACCCGCCGCTCGGGAGAAGCGGGTAGAGGCACTTGCCATCGCTCGGACGTCCATTCCCTGTGTTTGTTTTTCCGGCTTCGTGCGTTTTTTTTGTCGCAGGATGATCCAGGATGCTCCTTATAATCCCCGCCGAGAAAAAGTGCACACGCCCGAGCGATACCAAGGGCACGAGGAGAATGAGGAGGGCGCCGAAGGTGGATTGGGCGGCGGCCCGCCCCGTGAAGCATGGGGAAGGAGAGGCCATCCGAGCAGTGAGGCAGGAGGGCGCCTCAAGTAGGGGGGAATCTGGGGCTACAAAACAAAACTGCCACCGAGCGAGAGGCATTGGCGTGTCATCAGCTGGCGCCCCCCCCGACGGTTTCCCCAACCCCACGCGTGACCCACAAAGAATGCAACCATGAACGCAGACGCTGGCGTCGCCACCGCGTCAACGCGGCGCGAATCCGCCGTGAGCCACCGAGTGAGCAACGATCCATCCATCAAAACGACTGCTTCGCAGAACGATTCAGCGGATCCAGCAGAGACTCCCTGCCGCGCTCCGCGTCCTCTCATATGCTGCGTCCTCCTCCTTCCTCTTCTCTTCCTGCTTCTCCTCCTCCTCCTCCTCCTCCTCCTCCTCCTCCTCCTCCTCTGGAGCCCAGGGGCACACAAATAAATCCGCCGATCCGGCGTGTGAGTTTCTGAGAGCGTGGACTTGAGCTCGCTCAAGCTTCGCTCTGCAAGGGGGGGGAGGGGGGACGCCATTCCCGACGCATTTAGTACTCGGGGGCGGGGGGGCCCACATCATTCCCGACGCCGTTCCAACGCTCTGACCATGGAGGGGAGGGGGCCGACGCCATCCCAAACGCCATTCCCGACGCATGTCGTGCTCGCAAGACGCCTCCAAGGCGCCCCAATAGGTATCCAACCACCTGTGAAGAGAGACCCACGAAGTCCAAATCGTCAAATTCCGATGGGGAAACGTATATTTTTACCTTATACGACATTTCTGCCTTCACGACGTCGCCTACGGTCCCAGAGGCTCCCGAGACCGCGTCAAGAGGGCTCAAGAGGCTCCCAAGACGACCTCAAAACGGCCAAGAGGGCGCCAAGACGGCCCAAGAAGCGCCCAAGCCGGCCCAAGAGGGCTCCAAGACGGCTCCAGGAGGAGCCCAAGAGGGGGAGACCAAACTGAGAATCCCAGCCTTTCCCCTCACGAGGTTCTCAAGAGGCTCCAAGAAGCCCACGAAAGGCCCCAACAGGCCCCCAAGAAGCCCCCACGAGGCCCCAGAAGGCCCCTAAGAGGTCCGAAAGAGGCCCCAAGAGGCACCAAAACGACCCCTAGGAGGATTCCCCAGGTCCATTGCTCAATCCCCTGAGTCTCAGTCCTCACTGGCCGGAGGCCATCACAATAGACACAAATCCAATGCGTCCCCATGTTTCCATGCTTTCTGGATCTTCTTCTTCCCCATCCACTTCCCATACTTTCCTATAGTTCCTGGGATTCAAACAATTATCTGCGTCTATGTGCTCTTTCCCCTCTCGACGGTGGACAAACCTCCCTTTAGTCAACCTCCCCTTCGTGAAAACGGCCTGGGATCGAAACCGAAGGACCTGGACCCGCAAGAATGACTGCCGCGACGCCCTCTCGCGAACCGAGAACGGCCAATTCCTGAGTCGACGTGTCAGGGCAGGAGGTCTGTCCACCCCCCACCCTCCTGAGCCTCAGCCTTCGCGGGAGCGCGCGCGGCGGTGGGGAGGGGGCGAGGGGTGGCATGCTCAGGAGACGGCAAGCGGAGTACACAAGGAGGAGGGGAGGGCCGGGAGGAGGAAGAACAGCAGAAGAGGGGAAAGTAGGTCAGGAGAGGCAACGCCTGGGAGATCTTCGTTGGAACGGTCAGAAACGAGTAGGCCAGACTAAACAGCCACTCCACCGGATTAGGCCGGATGGAGCCAGGATTCAGCCAGATGAAGCCGCACGTAACAGGATAAGCCGGATTAAGCCGGAACGACCCAGATTAAGCCGGTAATTAATCGACCGCGAGAATACCAGCGCCGATACAGAACTTACCTCCCAGGAGTTGCATCCGAAAGGAGGGCGAGGAGGTAATGAGCATGAGGAAGAGCCTTACCCCCGCTCACTGGAAACCCTGAGTAGAAGTACGAGGGATGTGCACAGACGCTGATCCTGGCGCGCGTCTGCTGTGAGGCCTCCTCGTTTAAAACACGAGCCAGAAACAGATGTAAGCTCGCATCGACGCTTTGCGTGTTAAATGCGTTGCTCGTCCGCTGCTGCATGTTGAACACGAACATTGACCCCGGCCTCTCTTCGGTGTCTACCAGGGGCTGGCCACGGTTGGAGCCTGAGGGATTAGCCAAGGCTTCAAAACGTGTGAATGGCTGGCCCAACCCGTTTACGATCGCCTTCCATTTGAAACAGAAGCGCCTCGATGATGCCTGGCGCGGCCTGATTGGGCGCCATCCGGAAATGCCCCGGGAGCGCGCTCGAAGACGACTCGGGGGGCCCGACGGCATAGACAGGTATCAATCTCTGGCACTCCTGGAAGGATAGCACGAAGGATGCGCAGAGGAGTGGAATGAAGTGGGCTCAATCGCGGTGCGATAATGGGGATGCGCAGAGGAGGATCGGGAGGAGGGGAGGAAACAGAGGAGCGGAGAGAGGGCATGGGCCGAGCAAGGCAGGCAATTGTCGGGTGGGCACAGAAGATCGAGAGAGGACGGGGAGGACTCGCGGCCTCCTCCTACTGAGGACTCACGGAATCCTCCTATGAGCTATGAGATGGCGGCGGTGCCGGCTTCCACCCCGGCGCCATCGAGCCCCCACCGACACTGGCCAGAAGCCAGAGGAAGGGCATGAACATACCATACCTGTTGCGCAGCACAGGCGGAGTCAGGAGACGGGGAGGAACGAGGATCCGAGGAGGCGTGCACGATGGATCAGCCTTTCCCTCGTCGTCCTCATCCAACCCCTCCTCCTCGCCCTACTCTACTCTCTCTCCTCCCCCGCTTCCTCCTCCTGCTCCTCCTCCTCCTCCTCCTCCTCCTCCTCCTCCTCCTCCTCATTCTCCTCCTCCTCCCCCTCCCCCTTCCCCTCCGCCTCCTCCTCTTCTTCTTCCTCTCCTGCCCCCCCCTCTCCCCCCCGGACGACGACCAGCCGCCCTCCCCAGGGCCAAGTCCACGCCGAGGACCCGCACCTGGACGACCTGATCAACGAAGACCTCGTCCGTCACGTTGGCCACGTAGGCGTCCTCGGAGTCCGCGCGGCGGGGGGGCGCTCCTCCTCGCGCCTTCCCTGGGAACGCGGAAAAGACACACCACCAGCAGAAACAGCCGACGAAAGGAGCCAAGGGTGGTGGTGGTGGTCCACCCTTCTCGCTCGAGACATCCCCGGGCCCCAGCTCGGAGAAGTCATCGCGGACCTCCTCGCTGGAGGTGGCCCCCATGGTGGTAGTGGTGCCAGCGCCATTCTCGTTCCATCATCGCTCCTCGCACCTCGCTCCTCGCTCCTCGCTCCTCGCTCCTCGCTCCTCGTTCCTCCTCCTCCTCCTATTCCTCATCCTTCTCCTCCTCCTCCCCCCTCCTCCTCTCCTCCTCCTCCTCCTCCTCCTCCTCCCCTCCTCCTCCTCCTCCTCCTCCTCATCCTCCCCCTCTTCCTCCTCCTCCTCCTCCTCCTCCTCCTCCTCCTCCTCCTCCTCCTCCTCCTCATATTCCTCCTCCTCCTCCTCGGTCCTGGCTCCTCGCTCGTCCTCCTCCTCCTCCGCCTCCTCCGCCTCCTCGCTTCTCCTCACTTCTCCTCGCTCCTCCTCGCTCCTCCTCACTCCCCCTTGCTCCTCCTCGCTCCGCCTCCTCCTCCGCGACGGAATGGGGGCATCGGGCGTGAAGACATGTAAACGGAGGGGGACGAAACGTGCGACACGTGCACCGCTCGTGCCCCTTTTGGCCCCAGGGGGCCCCTTCAGGGCCTCGTTGGGGCGGAAAAGGTGCACCTTCTTTCTCACCCCCCCACTTGTCGCACCCCTCTCACTCGCCGGGCAGCCTTTCCTGTCAGGTCCGGTGGGGCGAGAAAGCCAAGGGGGGGGGGGCTGGGCAGAGGTGAGAACGGCGAAACCGCTGTCCGTCATGACGCGGAGAAGTATGCGAAATTGGCCCAACTGGCTGGGTAGTCGAAGCCAATCTGGCGCCAATCTGGCAGGCCCAATCTGGCAAACGGGGGCAATCTGGCGGGGGAGCCAACGCGAATCCAGTCTGGCGAATAACCCAAATCCTTCAACATGGCCAGGCCAGATTGGCCCTTGGGGCCCAATCCAGTCTGACAGTCTGGCCTTCGACTACCCAGACTGGGAAGTGTTCTTGGCGGGTCTCGTAAACCCGCACACGCTAGACCAGGACAGCCAACATCCCTCAAAACCAATTTTCGCCTGACGGCGGCACGGGGAACAACTGCACTGAAACATTTTTGGGATAAGCCCGGACACAAACTTAAAAAGCCTGCAGTACCCCCCCTCGCCTAGACCCGGACAAAGACCCGAATTCTGAAGTGCAGCCAACAAAATGCCCTGGACAACCAAATTGACTTTACAGGGGGTGCCGTTTCCCAGACTTGCCCGTGCCCTGGCCAACCTTTGTGCTGGCCTCTGGGGGGCCGATCCTGCACCAAACACCCTCCTCCAGACCTGTCTTGGGGTGCGCCATGACCGCCATTGTCCGCCGAGGCGGAGATTTATCCCTATCCATCGCCTGGGAAGCGACGGCCAAGGGACCCAGCGGGCGGCGGACACGAACACGTGTCGACCCCCCCGGGGCCAACACACATCCATCGGCCGGAAGAATCAGGCAGCAGCACGAAGCAGGGAAGGCGCTGAAAGCAGAGTGCGTGTCCGCCCGCCCCCCCGAAGAGGACGGAAGAGGGGAAGCCGCTCGATCACTGGAGCAGGAAAGGCGCTTGAGGCAGATTGGCGTCCAGGGCTCCAAAAAATGCCTACCCCGACTTCCCACGGGAGCGGGACGCGTCGCTGCCCGCCTGGATCAGTGCCCCACTGAATGTTCCCATTCTCACCTGGGGGAGTGGGT